GGTGATGGGAAACCCGCGGGGATTACAATCAAGATGGAAAAAAAAAATGTGCAAAATGATGTAAAAATAAACTTTGTAATAAATAAATAAAAAAAAAACATAAAAAAAAAAGTAACAAGAATTTTTCTCTACAAAGTAGTCACAATGAAAGAAACTGGCCTCTCAAAAAGAGGCATATATTCTTTTGCATTTAACAGATTCAACTTAATATTGAACACCAAATAGTCCAAGTTCTATGATCAGTCAGGCCTATTTATTTGAAATGTATAAATAAAGTACATGAAAACTCCATACCTATAGTAAGAACCAAAATAATACCAACTCAATTCTAATTTGAAAACGTAGCAATAATGATTTTTCAAACAAGGAATAAAGATGTCACACAAAAGTTATTTGGAGAAAATAGGCAGATCTTATTAGTGTTAAAACGCTGGTATTAAGGTAACAGAAAACTGTTAAAAATAGGCCAAATCTGTGTTGTAGTTAGTAGTTTAGATGTTCAACAATTCAACACCAGGAAAAAGGTCTAGTTGGCTTGATATAACTGTGTACCTGAGGATATTCATACATAAAGTTATTTCAAGCTCAGTAGCAAAAAAAACAAAAAATAGTAACAATTTAAAGGGAATTCAGCATTGCTGGGAACACAGTGCAAAATCCTTTAGCCGCTCTCTTACTGACTCTAAGAATCTAGGTTAGAAAGTAAACAAAATGAGATCTCTTTAGAGTATTAACTGATCAAATACATTCTTAGAAGCAGATAGTCTGTTTTTCCTAAATTTCCATTCAGGAAATTTTTCAATTTCTTGTTATCATTGAACACCAAATAGTCTGTCTCCTAACATCAGTCATATGTATCTATCTATTGGACATGTATTAAAATACATAAAAATTTAACTTTTTGTTTCTACTACTAAACCAAATCTATGAATAAAATTTTGAATTTTGTTAACAGCTTTAACTACTTTCATCATAATTTATCTGGCAAAGAAACATAACCCACAATTTTTTCCTTTTTGAGTTAAAAAAATGATTTTAATCTAAAGCAAAGCATTCAATACTCATTTTGGTTGTTATTTTAGTACATTTATCTTAAAATGTTTCAAATTATATTTGGTTATTAACAATGTCATTTCTTACCGGGATCTGCTAATCCAGTGGTCTCTAACAGGATATAATCAAATTTCCCCTTCTTCTCCATCAAATTTTCAATAGCTCTAAGACCATTATCCCTCGAAAAATAACAAAATACAATGTACAGTGGACTGTATTTTAAAGTACTCATAAACATTTTATAAGTATTCAGTAACCAGAGACAAAAGTATCTTTAGGCCTATAAAAACTTAACTCCGGGCCCTCCCGGGTGGCGTAGCGGGTTAAAGCACAGCACTGAGAAGCTAAAGCCACCTCCGCATGAATTCGATTCCCGCCTGCCCCGGAGGTGACCACATGGCGTGGCAGACCTCTCCTGACCCACCCGCTGCTCCCCTCAGCAGTGTACTTCGTAGATCTGCCTGTTCTGCTCCCCACTCTGTCTCTGGTGAAGCCTCTCACCGCCCGTGAGCCTCTGGCCTGCACCCCAGTTCTGTATGCACAAATAAATCTTTAAAAAAAAAAAAAAAAAAAAACTTAACTCCTTCCCAAGCCTCAAAAAAAGGCTACCTATTATTTACTGCTATAAAGAAAAAAGTTCGTGCATATACACTGATTCACATACATGAGTTAATAATTTTATTAAAAGTAGAGGTCATTTTAATATATCTGACCAAAGTCAGTCAGACTTCATTATGTTTATAGGTTTATGAAAACAGAATCTACATCCAAAAACAATGAAGAAACTTATAAATTATAATAGTTTTAACAGCTAAAGGGAATTAAGGTATTTAATTTAAATACCTTTTAATTCTATTCTGAATTAGGATATCATGCTTCTATTTCCATTTCTTTATATTATTAAAAACAAAATACTTAATGGGTTGCATTTTGGATGTTCAAGAAAATCTATTATTATTTTAAACTTGTTAATTACATGTGACTGACTCAGTTTAATTACCTAGTAAGGTAAATGGAAAGAAATTCAATTCACTAGAATATACAAAATCAACAGCATAGGTATTTATTTTCCTACTTTAGTCAACATATGTCTGAGTGACTATTATGTGTCAGGTCCCTTTCTAAGACTCATGGTATACTAGTAATGAAAACAGACCTAACCATACTGGTGGACTATAAAATAAGGTATTTTTCCTATCCTAAAAATCAATTAATTTGTTTTTAAACATTAAAAATAAGACCAAATACTTGGGAATAAGACCAATGATTTATTAAGTTCAAAATATTTCTTTTTGGGCTCTCCCTGGTGGCACAACACGTTAAAGCACCACATTATGAAACTCTCTGAAGCCACTGCAGCATGAGTTCAATCCCGGCCCAGGGAGCTGACCCACATGGTGCTGTAGACCTCTTCTAACCCTCCTGCAGCTCCCCTCAGCAGTGTACTTTGTTGATCTGTCTGTTCTGCTCCCCACTTTGTCTCTGGTGAAATCCTCTCACCCACCACACTCTGGCCTGTACCCCAGTTCTGTAAGCATAAATAAATAAATCTTAAAAGAAATTTTTGTTATACATGAAATAAGACTTTTGGGCACCACAAAGATTATTAATTAAATAAACCCTACCATTAAAAAAAAATTATAGAATCAAACTTTAAAAGATAGAAAAATAAATGATAGAAAAAAGAACCTTAAAAATTGCATGATGGCGGCCCTCCCTGGTGGCGCAGCGGGATAAAGCACAGCACTGAGAATCTAAAGCCGCTTCCACATGAGTTCAAT